CTGTCTGTCTGTCTGTCTGTCTGTCTTTACTATTTGAGCCGAGTCCCTGCCGATCTTAGGGTAGGCCAGGATTATCCACACTTCTTATAGGATCACATCTTCAAGTCCTGACTCCATGGAACTAACAGTCTCTCTTTCTACGATTTTGTCCCTGTTCCAGTTCCAAACTGAACCTTGAGGTTTACAAACTTTTAATACATTAGAACATATACATAATTTAATTTAAAAAACACATTTCTCCCTCTCTCTCTGCCTTTCTTCCTCCTCCACGCTATGTTCTGCTGCGGCACGGACAAACAATGAAACGTGCTGTGGCATTCATCTCGTGACGAAAATGTAATTTCCTTCGAAGCCAAAAGTGGTACAAAGTCAGTGTCAGAAACCCTCCCTTCCCCCGTTCCCTCTCGCTTAGAACTATTACTACCAAAGACTTTACCACACTCACACACTCACCCCTACACACAACTCATATGTGACACGACTCCTGCAGACAAAACTCACCCCATCCCCCCTCCCTTCAACCCTGAAACGTTGTCTTCCGTAAACACTTGACTTGGGAGGTTCGGGCCATACGGATGTACTATTATTATTATCTCTTAATGCAAACAAACAGTGAGGCCGAATTCTCATTAGCGAACAGCTCACAGCACACTGCAGAAATCTTTACCTCATTTCCTACCGACCCCCACTCTCTTTCCGTCCCCCACCCTCGACATAAGTACGCGACGCGCACTGGGACGTCTCTGGAAGTCCTCAACTGCACGACCTATTCTCATCATCTCCCTCTTGTGTTTTTTTATATTGCTTTGTTTTCCTTTGAGAATCGCCTCGCGCTCCTTCCTTATTTTTCGATGCGAATAAAGTCACCAGCCCTACCCACTTCCTCGTGAGAGCCTTCACAGACCTCTCGTTGCCTCCCCCCACCTCGCTACCTTCGCCCCCCTCTCCCTCAAGTTCTCGGCTCTTCACTCTTATTTCAGCTTAAACTGTTAAAACAAGTTAGAACTTCACGAAGAACTCGTTGTGAAAAAAGTTGCCAGAACTCTTTGTGAAATCACAACTCTTCTTCATTTTCAAAAATTGATAACTTCAGAAATTATTACGATCGGTTCACAACTATTTCCAAGTAAGATAGCAAAATGCACTATTTTTGTCTACAACTGTTGTAATTTCACAGTTGCTTCGTTTCGTGAAAATGTTGGGAAATCACAAAATGTTCTCAAAAGTGTACAGCTCCAGGCTAGTCGGGGCGAGGTGCGAGACGAGGTGCTCTGCAGAGCCTATTCCTCATTCCCGATCCCATTGTTTCAGCCTGTACTCGGGACGGCTTACGGTGCGACCTGACCCTCCTCCCCAACCCCTGTCTGTCTGTCAGTCGGTGAGACAGTCTGTCTGTCTGTATGTATGTATGTCTGTCTGTCTGTCTGTTAGTCAGTGAGACGGTCTATCTGTTTGTCAGTGAGACAGTCAATAGACAGTCTGTCAGTCAGTGAGTCTGTTTGTCTGTCTCTCTGTCTGTCTACACATCACAGGGGCTTCGTTACAGCTCTGCTTCATCACATGGCTAGGTGGGGTGCCATTACAGTTCAATTGAGCTGGCGCTCGAGTGCTTCCATATTGGCGCGCGCATAGAGTTCTGCGCGGCCCAGTCACCCAGTCATGGAAACGATTGAGGGAAGGGAGGGGGGCGGGGGATCACGCGAGCGAGTTGGCGCCGCAAAAGCGGAACCTAATTCGCTACAAACGGGCCGATAGGAATTCAATAACGCGCCCAGAGATGTGTGGCCACAATGTGGCCGCGCTCTCGCGATGTTCGCCCACCCTTTTAAAACCCGCTGCCACACACACTGGACATGTTAATATGGTCTGGCGGTTAAGCCAAACTTTCCAAATTGAGTTTCAAATTATTCTGTTGGGCGCCTGGTCCAACGATTAGTACGAAAGCCCTTCCTCCCGGCAGCCTTCTCCATAATCCTCTTTTTTATTGACCCCCTACCCCCCCTCCCGGATCCCAATTACCTCCTCCTCTTTCCCCTATCTCGTACTTTTTTTTGCAACACTCTCGCCTCGTCACTTGGTCCTCCCGGCTGTCGGCTTAGCCTCGCTTGTTCGAATCATCGACTCGTTACCTCGTTACACAGGGTAGAATGCCCCCTCCCCCCCCTCCGCCCCGCAGCACTAGAGTGTGGAGTTCAAGTCGAGGGAATTTACTCGCGAGATAAATTGTGCGACCCCCTTTCGAAAAGGATTACGAAGTGATGCGAAATGATGTGAAACTTCCCTTCTTGACGAACGGCTTTGTGCATCGTCAGAGCGCGTACACACAATTTCGAGTGAGTATCTCGTCGTGTTTTGGTTGCCCTGATAAACGAAGTGTGCAACTGCTCAACGTTTGTAAGTGTGCAACTGGAAGTTAAATACTTGCAAGTGCACACCTACCGGAAGTAGAGCTGTGCGAATCAAGGTTTTTGTCTTCGAATCGAATCGAATCGAATCTCAAAAATTTTCTTCGAATCGGATCGAATCGAATTGGCTCAAAAATTTCGAATCGAATCGAATCGAATCAGTCCAAATTCGAGCCCGAATCGAATCGAAAAAAAATCGGTTGTATTTTTCGTATGCAAGTCACGCGGTATTTTTAAACTCATTTAAACTGGCTCTGTAACGTGGATGTTCGACGACTTACAACGTGTAGTGCGGGCATAGAGCGGGTGCCGCACACTACACCCCAATGCGATTCGATGTCGAACCAACCCGATTCGAAATTTCGAATTATTCGACATCGAATCAGGCAAATTCGAAATCGAACGAATTCGAATCAGGCCGATTCGATTCGATTCGATTCGATATCGAACAATTCGCACAGCTCTAACCGGAAGTGCACAGCACTTACATGTGTTGAGCTGAGCAGTTGCACCGAGAGTTGCACACTTAGTTTATCAGTGTGTGGACCGTCCCGAAGGTACCTCCGTGTTTCTCAGATTTATTCGGCAAATTACGGAAGCTCGGCGCCTGCGAGGCTTAGGGTAGACCATTCCGCAGTACACGCGTGCACCCCAGGCGAGACGTTGCATACCCGTAAGGCGTTATGAGAGGTTGCATATAGGCTACTCTGCTTGGCAATAATAATTTTGTAACGACGAATGACGGGCCTACTTTCTACATTAACCCTCGGAGGAAGTAATGGCGGAAAGGGTCTCTGCGGCGAGACCAGCATTTTTGGCCAAGCAGCAGAAGATTTTTTGCACGTGGTCAAAATTATGGTTTTGGGGGTCAATATAAAGACGGCAAGTCTAGCCCTTTACCCACTCCCCCTTCCTCCTTCTCTAATATAGGGTGAATTTCCTCCAGGAATGACCCCATGGTGTAAGTCGGGAGTTTGATCCCGTGATGCGGCGGCTGAATGGACCCCATTTGCCTATACGCTTCCCGGCTCGACAAAATTGCAGGAAGTAGAGAAGGTCGATTATTTGAAGAATCTGCCCTTTAGCGCGCAGAGAGGAAAGGGGGACGGGAGGAGGATGGGCAGCAACTCGGAATCCTCGAATACAACCCCTTCCTATCGACGACGACGGAGGGTGCATTATACCCTGTCCGGCACTGTCATCTAGAGTGTGTTCCAACCAGCAAGCACCACCAGCCGCCGAGCTGTATGAGTCTTGCAGCCCGAGTGTTTCTAATAGGACGAGGGATCATAATCAATGATACATTCTAAAAAGACCGAGCGGGTAGATCCAATATGGGGTAATAATAACAGGACAATACGTAGCTATCCGGAAATATGAATGAGGAATGCATGCGTCACGTGTTGGTCGCACATCGGTTGTTCGGCTGAGTGGGGAGGGGGGGTTTCAGTATGATGTGACGCGAGTGCGAAACAAGGGCACAGTGCCGCGGCCTGCTGCCCAGCAGCACGCGCAGCGCGCGCTTATTTTCGTTTAATTAAGCTGATAATTGAAACGAGGAGAGCAGTCCAATCCGCCCCCTCCCCCAACGTTTTACTCCCCACCCTCATTGTTTGACTTATTGCACGGAGAAATTTTCGTTGGCGTCGGGCAATGTGCATTTGTTAGACCGCACACTACTCGGAAGGCTTTGCGCAGACCTGAAAGTTTTCCGTCAGACTGCACTTTGCGGTTTTTGCTCTAGAAACATAAAAGGCCAAGCCCCACACAAAACACCTCTATTTGTCACACCCCGGAGCTTTAAAAGGCGAGAAGTAAACGTTTTACTGGACAATCTGTAAGACCAGGAGCGACTTTTTCCTCCCCAGTGTGGCTATTATGCTGATGGCAGGGGGCTCGCGCTGGAGAGAGTAGAGGGTATTAGACATGGAAAAGAGTGAGGG